GCCACCACATCAAAGTAAAGCTGACACACATGCACTCAAATAATAAAATGTGTGAAATGAAAGTTTAACCATATTGTGTAAATATTAACCTAAAGTGAAGTGGTAAAGTTGATGGAAACGGTTGTGTTTGATAGGACACACACTGCAGTGAAGATTGCACCCTGCTACAGTTCTCCTGTTCTCCATGTTCTTGATGCATCCAGGAGTGTGGTGGTGGTAAGAACTTTTCAACAACCTTTTAGGGATATACCGTTAGGTCCATAACTATGTGGACACTGTATTCAGATTATACTGTAGTTATATAATAGACATAATATCCAGACTTCCATATTTCATTTGAGGGAATCCACAGAAAACTGGATGAAAGGATTATAGTCCCAAGAGTTAGACCATGTTTATCTGCATAAAAAGTACCAGCAATTTTATCGGTACCCCATTAAAKTACATCCCTTCCAGGTATAAAAACATTTCTTACACAATTTCTTCCGGACACAGTCAGAATTCAAAGTTAATGCTAAAAACCATGGCTTTGACTATGTCTATATAATATCTGACCATAATCGCCAGATCTTTTGCTTCAGATCTGTGTTTTTGGTACCAAAATGTTAAAAACTGATTGCTTAATTAAATACAGCTAACTAATATTAAACTTATTAAAGCCATTTACAGCTGGCATCCACAAAAAGGGCCAAAAAGTGTCAAAATTTGAGCTTTTTTTGAATATCTGGTCATGCACTTTCCCCAACTGTTCTGTCAGTATTTCCTAAACTGGAACCAACTGCACCAAAAATATCTTCAGACACTCTACTAATTAAAAAACATAAGATAAGATGTAAAATGTCATTTTTTTTATTCTAGAAGCAAACAAATGACGCCAACCCTCTAAATAATTGAAATATGCCTAATTTTAAATATTGTACATATTATTGCCCTACTTCATATTTAAATCATACTTTAGTGTTACAGAGTATGTGTGAAACAAACCACTGGGTTAATGTTCAGTGAATCTCATCCATCCATTCATTATCTTCCGCTTTATTCAAAGTCGGGTTGCGTAGCAGCAGTTTATGTAGGGAAGCAAAGACGTCTCTTTCCTCGGCCACCACTTCCAGCTCTTCTGGGAAGACTCCACGGTGTTCCCTGGCCAGCTAAGCGATATAGTCTCTCCAGCATGTCCTGGGTCTTCCTTGGGGGGTCCTCCCAGTTGGACATGCCTGACGCACCTCCCAGTGGGGGCATCCTTACCAGACACCCGAACCCCTTCAACTGGCTCTTTTGAATGTGGAGGAGCAGCAGCTCTACTCTGAGTCTCTCCCAAATAACTRAACTTCTCACCCTGTCTCTAAGGGAGAGTCCAGCTAACCTGTGGAGAAAATACATTTTGACCACTTGTATCCACGATTGTTCTTTCAGTCACTACCAACGTTCATGGCTATAGGTACACATTTTTGGAACATAGGCTACGTTCACACTGCAGGCAAATGCGACCCAAATCCAATTTTTTTGCCCCATGTGACCCATATCTGATTTTTTTTATGACAGTCTGAACGCAACAAATCCGATTTTTTTCAAATCCGACCCAGGCCGTTTCAGTATGTGGTTCTAAATCGGATACATATCTGATGTTTTAAAGTGACTGTAGTCTGAATATAGACACAGAAAAATAGATTTTGAAGGTGTTCATGTTGCTCTGATTTGAGTTTTGTTTTGTTGGTTGTGTCAGTGCTCACAACTGCTGGATGAAGCAACAAGAGAGGAATACTTGGAAGACGTGAAGGAGGAGTATGATGTGGTCAGACAGGAGCACTATGATTCTCTGAAGGTGAGTCTTGGTACTAAATCTGACCAACTTACTGCAGAATGTTAATTGATCCATGTCCCTGTATTGACCACTGAGTTATAGAYCAATGTTWAATCAGCATTTTAATTTTYCATCACATTTTSATAGAGCTGTAATATTCAATATTTTGTAGTTGAAATGTAACAATCAGCCTTAGTAGAAAAAATCAGCACCCTTTTATGTAGTTTTCCTGTAATTGTTATTGCACAGTCTAAGAATGACCACTACATAAGACCATTACCACACAAATTTTAAATTTATATTTGTAAAATCTTGACTAGGTTCTTTTGTTAAACTCAGATCAAAACATGATACAATAATAAGATCATTCCAAAGTGAAACTTGTTGGCTTTCAGGAACACTCAAAGAAATGAAGAGAAAACATTGTGGAAGTCAGTGAATGTTACTTTTCTTGACCAAGCACAGGGAAAAACTATAGAATCACTCAATTCTGAGGAAAAAGTATGGAATCACTCAAATTTGAGGTATAAAATAAGGACACACC